TGCCTGGGTTCCCTCTCCATGCATTACATATATAGCCTAGAAACTCCTAGTCTGTAAACAAGGGCAGCTGTGGGACTCCCATTGTTTCTTTGTTTCTTCATCACCTTCTCAGCTGAGGTAATTTTATTAATTAGTATTCTATGTTCAAAAAGCCTATGTTCTGTAGTATAGAATAGTATATTATCTCTAATTTTTAATCTGGCTCAGTAGATTAAAGACATTATAGTAAGTATGCTAATGAAATTAGGAAGATTTTTTTTCCCCCCCAGGACAAAGAAAAGTAGGTCTTTTCTCATTTAGAGCCAAGAATGCAGAGAGAGACTACTTTGGGCATATGAAATTTTAAACATCTTTTCTACCAGGATGAAGGGAATGCAGTAAAGGTGAAAGACTGTGATGGTTAGAGTGAAGAACCCTAGGTTCTTGGGTTTGAGCTGTTAATTGTTCACTTTCTATCTATATCACTTTGGGCTGGTTACTTAGTGTCTCTGTTAATATTTAAGTGAGACATTTAATTGGCTTACTTTCAGAAGTATTCCAGTTAATAAATGTAGAAGCAATAAGAAAAACAAAATCAACATTAGTGCATCATAGTAAGAGGTGCTGTGTGCAGTATCCATGGATGAATGCTATAATTAGTGGGCGAAATTCTAAGTATAAACAGGTATGACATACTTTCAAAGTGCTTCCTCCAAAACATTATTGTTTACAAAGGGAAAAATAGTAATTTACATTGGGGAAACCTGGCATATGCACCACCTTAAATAAGATCAGGGTTAACATTGCCTATAATAAAACATATTAACAGCATACGCATCATGTGTGATGCACTTGAAAGAACACATCACCTCTGGTATTCTTCCTAAAAATGCAGAACAGTCTAGTCGTGAGAAAACATCAGACAAACCCAAATTGAGGGATGTTCTGCAGTGTAATTAGCGATTACTCTTCAAAAGTGTCAGTGTCATTGAAGACAAGGAGGTACTGAGGGACAGTCCCAGCGTGGAGAAGATTAAGGGGACTTGAAATAAATGTAATGTGAGAACCTGGAACAGAAAAAGGACAGTTGTGGGAAAACTAGTGAAAGCCATATAAAGTCATTAGTTAATAGTTAATTTCTTAGTTTTAATATTTGTACTGTGGTTGTTATTTTAGTCATCTAGTGCTGCTCTAACAGAAATACTACAAGTGGATGGCTTTAACAAAGAGAAATTTATTCTCTCACAGTTCAGTAGGCTTCAAGTCCAAATTCAGAGCATCCAAGGGAACATTTTGTTTGTCAGCTTTGGAGGTGGGTCCGTGTTATCAATCCTCCCTTCGTCTGGGAGCTTCTCAGGCACAGGGACCCCAGTCCAAAGGACGCCCTCTGCTCCCAGTGCTGCTTTCTTAGTGGTATGAGGTCCCCCATTCTCTGCTTGCTTCCCTTTCCCTTTATCTCTTGTAACATAAAAGGTGATGTAGGCCACACCCTAAGGAAACTCCCTTTACATTGGATCAGGGATGTGACATTAGTAATACAATCCCACCCCAGTCCTCTTTAATGTAAAATTACAATCACAAAATGGAGGACAATCACACAATACCAGGAATTATGGCCCAGCCAAATTGATACACACATTTTTTGGGGAACATAATTCAATCCATGATAGTTACGTAAGATTTTACCATTATGGGAAGGTGAGTGAAAGGTATATGGGAACTCTGTACTTTTTTTTGCAGCTACTCTGTAAGTCTGAAATTATTTCCAAATAACACGTTTTGTAAAAAGCTAAATGGTAACTGCATTTGTGGGCAGAGCTCGTTAACTTGTAGTTGAGTTAGCCTTTTCTTTGGGAGACCCCGTTAGATAGTGTGTGGCATTTGTTTTTCTGGAGCCATTAGATTTTTCCAGAAAACTTGTATAATTTCGAGATTTCGGGATGGTGGAAGAAGACGTGGTTCTTAACATCTGATTGGCAGTGTTCTGGGAGCAGGGTAAGGAAAGAAGGCTGAGGATCCCACAGTTTAGAATGTAGATCTTTATTCCTTAGTTTTCAAGCCTGTGCCCCATCCCTCATCTCCATTTTGGCTAAATTTCTAAGTTTGGAGTCTGTCTATGTGGATTTTTCTGGAGAGTAAACCTTTGGTATAATATTGGGATTTCAGGGCTGGGTTTTCTCCGTGCTGAGTGTGATGGGGAAGCATCTTCAGTCCAATCACTTTATAGACTCTACCTCTCTGTGCCTCAGTTTCCTCATCTGGAAAACAATGAGGAGGTAAAAGTAACCATCTTACAGAGATTTTGTTATGATTAAACAAGGTGATACACATAAAGTACTTACCAGATCAGTACTTTGTCATTTGGTGAACATTCAGTACGTATTAATTCATATTTGTATAAGGCCTGCTGCATTACGCTATTTATTCAGGCAGTGTACTGTACAACTGATTCCAGGTGGGGCCATTACCATGGACTGCAATGCAGCCCAGTGGCCCCACTATGATTTTTTAGTGAGATTTTTATGACAGAAAGAAATGTGTGTTGTCACATCTTGTTAAACTATAAGTCTGAAATATTCTCAAAACAACTTTTTTTTTTTTAAGGAAAAAATATAAAAGTAATTAACTTGAGAAACAATTTGATAAATTAAAAAAAAATTACAATCTTCAAATCCTTATCTGGTACTTTTCATAATTTGGCATTCTAACCAATGAAAGTTTTGAGTAATCTCTTAGGTATTTTGGAAGTGGTTGTCAATTTCAGTGTAGAAAGGTCAAAAACAATTTTATTTGTGTATGTTTCAGAAATATAAAATTTAACAATAATTTATGACCTAATTTTATTACTTTTTAAAAATAAGTGTTAAACGCTCAAAGTTTTTGCATGTGCTGTAGAAGTTACATTGGTCAGTTAATGTCAAATAACAGATAACAGCATGCATGGAGTAAGATGGGATACATTCATGTTATGGCCCACTATATGCCAGGCACTTCTCCAGACTCTGGATACAGAAGTGAACAAAGAGACCAAAAAAAAAAAAGAATTCCTATTTTTATGAAGCTGATGTTTTAGAGCATAGGTAGATTTTAAAAAAAACCCCATTGCTGTTGAGTTGATTCCGACTCATAGCGACCCTATAGCTCAGAGTAGATATGCACCGTAGGGTTTCCAGAAAGTGGCTGGTGGATTCAAACTGCCAACCTCTTGGTTTGAAACCGAGCTCTTAACCACTGCGCCACCAGGGCTCCATAGCTAGATAGTAAAGAAAATAAATAAAATGTGTTCTGCCTTAATTTGGTGATAGGTGTTATGGGGAAAAATAAAGCAGGAAAGTGGAATGGGAAGTTTTCAGGGGCTTGTGGGAAAGAGTATTGCAATTTTAAATAGAGTGAGTAGACAGGGAAGTTTTCACTGAGATGACTCAATACCTGAAGTAGGTGAGGTAGGGAAACCATGTGGGGATACCTAGGGAAAGCACATTCCTGTAGGGTAGAATAAGTTCAAATGCCCAGAGACAGGAGTATGCCTGATGTTTGAGGAATAGTGAGGATGCCAGTGTGGCTGGAATACAGTGAGAGAAGGGGAGAATGGTAGGAGATTAGAAGTAATAAAGGTTAAGGTCACTAAGGCCTTGTAGACCATAATAATGATGTGGGAAGCTATTGTAAATGTGTTTTTATCTTTTCCTCCTTTTGAATTGTGATGTTCCTTTATCCTGAGCATCAAATGGGTATATGAGAGTGTAAAATGTAATATCTAGCAGTTTGCATAGTAGATGCTCTCTGAATGTTTATTGAATTAATTTATATGGCAAGATATTAAGAAGTATGTTCAGGGTCCTGTGTTCATTTGATGAAGTAGTGCTTTTTGTTTTTAACTGCTTCCTGGAGCCCTGGTGGTGCAGTGATTAACAGCTTGTTTGCTAACCAAAAGGTTGGCAATTCAAATCCACCAGCCATTCTTGGAAACCATACAGGGCAGTTCTGCTCTGTCTTATATGATCGCTACGAGTCAGAATCGACAGCAATTGAGGTTTTTTTTTAAAACATAATTCAGGGTTTTGATATATCTGTGTATTTAACATTTTTAAATATTTGTCACCTTTAATAATGTCTGTTTGTACTCTTGAATAGATCGGTTATCTTGAAATAAACATACATTTATTTTTATTAGCTTTAGTATTTAGTCAAATCATAACCCAGTTTTCTCTGAATGAATCAGTAAATTTACTTTTTGTATTATCAAAGACTCAACATTTTTATAAACGTGATTAAGTCACATTTTATTTAAATCCTATGTTCAGATTGATTGTTAAAATATCGTTGAATTTTTCTCTTTATCATCTAGTTTGATTAAAGTGTCAAATTATTTTAATTGGAGTTCTTGTTTTAATCTGAATGGAACAATTTTAAGAAATTCGTTTCTTCCCAAGCAATACACTTACCAGAAGTCATCCTTAGGTTTTAAAAAAGTTCACTAGTCCACTTTTAGGAATTAAGTACTCCCATGTAGTCCAGCTTTCAATTCTGCTGGTTGATGGGGTTAACATGTACTAGAGCCTTAGATTTAATGTTGAGTACTGAAAAGAGCAAAGGAAGTATACAAGGAACAGATAAGCAAAGTGTTTGAAATATTGCCTTAGACGTTTTTATAATGGTCAGGTAAGATGTTTCCTTGCATTTTTCTGGAAGAGTGTGTAAATTTATAGAAAGCTCTGCCTTTTTTTTTAAGTTCTTTGAATAGCTCTGAGAGATGATTCTGGGGTTGGGGAATAAAGAGGTGAACAGGGAGTCATAATATTGAAACTGGACATTCAGAGTTTTATAGCATGATTTCCTTATTTTTCAAAGAGCAGAAGAATCCCATCGTTTATCATGTTCTGGTTGGACTCCTTTCTTATCGTTTGCTGGAGTTTGAACTTCAGAGCTATGGTGTCAACCCTGCTGTAGTATCTCAGGGGAGCTCCTAGTGTGGGGCTGGTGCCATGGCTCACCCTCCAACCTTTCCTTCTTCACTTCAGCCTCCAGCTCTGAGCTTTCCAATTCCCAGAGTAGCAAATGTTGAAAGAAGTTGCACGGGTAAGTATGTGGTGGGAAAGGCTGGGGGAAAAATGGTACTGTCGTCAATATTTTGAGGGTGGATATTGGACCGTTTTACCAGTGACTCATTTTGTTAGTTCAGAGATATAATGATGTTTCTTATGAATTATTTTTCTCATAAAACTATCTAATAGATTATTGAATAATCCAATAAATAATTTTAATTCTTATTAATTAGGTGTGAATCAGGGAAAACCTTAAGCTGAATACAATATTAATATTTTAATGGGAAGGTAGGTGGTTAGATTTTTTTAAAACTTCATACTCTCCACAGTATATTACAGGACCAAAAACTCATTTTCAGAAAAGAAACGAAGAAAAAAAGTTGGGGAAGGCATAAATCTGTAGAGTACAATTTCACCACATGTAACGTGATCTCAGAATGAGGCAAGTTCTAGTTTGCTTTCACTAGCTTTAGACATGCTGTTCTTCTCTGTCCCAAGGTTTTGGGTGGCTATGTTTTTAATCTCTACAGGAATAGAAACTTCTTCAAGTATCTTTTTTTTTTTAAGTCTAGACAGGGGAACTGGAAGATTTCCACTAGTCTCTTAAATTTGAGGTTAACATAAACAAGTACCAGAAGCATTGAAGGCATAGTGTCTTTAGCAAATATTTGTTGAATAAATGACTGAATTCACCAAATCTTGTGTGTGTGTATGTGGGTGAAAAATGCCAGCACGCCTGTCATTTTCTCCTTGTCTGCCTTTTACCAAAAGTTTTGATCTGACATTACAGATTTTTTTTTCTTAGTGCATGATTTTTAGAAATAAATTTGGAGGCATGTAGCCTTTGGTTTTCACTACCTTGTTTACTACCTTTGAAGTTCTTCCTTCTCAGGAAGCTTTCAGAAATTACTTGTTTCTTTAGTCCTCCTAGATCTTTTCCATATGGTTCAGATTCATATGGTTTACAGCTTCTTTTGTACATTTATAATTATATCCAGGAAAAATAGACTCTTACTATGGCCTGTGATTGCTAAAATTTCTTCAGAGAAAATGTGTCATGCTTAAGGAGATTGAGACACCAAGTATTTGGCATTTCAGGTCTAAAACAGATCCTCAAAATACAGAATCCTTGGCAGTTTATCTCCCCTTTCCCTCTCTTAAGTTCTAGGGTTTTTTAGTGCACTGGGAGCCTTGTAGAAGTACTATATCCCCCAGCAAAGGAAATCATAGATCCAGTTTCTTCCACTGGAAAATGTCTTAAGTTTTTTCTCAATATATATTCATATTCCCTTCCTGTCTTTTTATTAGACCTATTTCTTCCTCTCTTACTTTTTATTAGACTTTAGGAGTGGTTTAAAATATTCACCCTCATTAAAATATGTCATTTATGCTTAGAGGATTTGTTTTGTACCCTAAACTTAAATGTCTTCTAGTGTTAAATGTTCTTCTTATTTGTATTTTATAATTTTACATCCAAATATTTAAGGGTAGAGTACTGCTTACCTTAGGCTGTATTATGATGTTATCAACTCTTCTTTTTTTTTTAATTGTTGTAATTAAATGAAGTTTACATTTCAAGTTGGTCTCCCATACAGAACTTCTTTTTTTTTTAAATATACATTGTTATGAGACCCCAACCACTCACCCCATTCTGCGACACCACACTCCTCCCCTCTGCCCCTGATTCCCCATGAACATTCAACTAGCTCCTAACTCTCTCTGCCTTCCCCTTTCACCTCTGGACAAAATTCACCCCTTTAGTCTCTTGTATCTACTTCTCTGAGGCACATTCTTTACAAGTATCACTTTATGTCCCACAGTCCAGTCCAATCCCTGTCTGAAGAGTTGGCCTTGGAATTTGTTTTAGTTCTGGGGCGATGGAGAGACCAGGGGCCAGGCCTTCCGGGGCACCTCCAGTCTTAGACTATTAAGTCTGGTCTTCTTACTAGAATTTGAGTTCTGCACCCCATCATTCTACTGCTCCATCAGGGACCCTCTGTTGTGTTCCCTGTCAGGATGTTCATTGGTGGTAGCGGGGCACCATCTAGTTCTTCTGGTCTCAGGCTGATGAAGACTCTGGTTTATGTGGCCCATTCTGTCTCTTGAGCCAATACTTTCCTTGTGTTTTTGGTGTTCTTTGTTCTCTTTTACTCCAAGTGGTTGGGACCAATTGATGCATCTTAGATGGCCGCTTGCAAGCTTTTAAGACCTCAGACGCCACTCACCAAAGTAGGATGCAGAACATTTTCTTAATAAGCTTTGTTATGCCAGTTGACATAGATGTCCCCTGAAAGCATGGTCCCCAGACTCCACATCCCTGCTACTCTGTCTCTCAAAGTATTTGATTGTATTGGGGAAAATTCTTAGCTTTGGTTTAGTCCAGTTGTACTGGCTTCCCCTGTAGTGTGTGCTGTCCTTCCCTTCACCTAAGATGATTCTTATCTACTGTCTAGTTAGTGAATAACCCTCACCCTCCCTCCCCACCCCTGTAACCATCAAAGGATGTTTTCTTCTGTGTTTAAACCTTTTCTTGAGTTCTTATAATAGTGGTCTTATACAGTATTTGTCCTTGTGTGACTGACTAAATTCACTCAACATAATAGGTTCTAGCTTCCACCAAGTTATATGATGTTTCACAGCTTCCTCATTGTTCTTTATCCTTGCATAATATTCCATTGTGTGGATATACCATAGTTTGTTTATCCATTCGTCCATCGATGGGCACTTAGGTTGCTTCCATCTTCTAGCTGTTGTGAACAGTGCTGTGATGAACATGGGTGTGCATATATCTATTCGTGTGACAGCTCTTGTTTCTCTAGTATATATTCCAAGGAGCGGGATAGCTGGATTGT